CCCCTCTCTCATTAGTTTCCAGTCCATTTTCTTCCCTCCCCTTTCAGGAAATCAGAATGATTTTCATAGTTATTGTTTGCCTGAGGACTCCTGACTAGAGTAGTAGAAAGTCACTAGCTACTCAATTGCTAGGACGCACGTGACAACTGACAAGCCACTGAACACGGCCACAGTCTCCTTTCTCCACCAGAGCCCAGGAAGGGCAAAGCCAGCAACCTCAGCCTACCATTACCACCTAGGTTCACTCAGCAAACATGTATTGTGCAATTACTTTAGGCCAAGATTGTATACTCCTTAGGGGTCTTAGATTTCAAGGAATGCAGAACTATCTTCTCACAGACAAATACTTGGAGAATCATGATTTAACCTCCCTGAGAGATCTCAGAACTCACCATGATGTTGATCCCAGAGAAAGAAATAAAGTATAGAAGTCTCCTTAAATATAGAGAACAGGTCTCCCGTGAACAGAATTGTGTGGCATACAGTGAAGTTCAGCCAATAACTGCTGTTTGACAGAAAACAAAATAGTCACACTGGAAGAATTGCCAGTGGCTAATAAGCCACAAAAAGGCTATTCATTACAAAATCATACAGCAAAACAGTGTTGTGTATGCAAAATATGATGTTTTTCAACTGCCACTTTATTTTTATATAACCCACAGCACATTTTTCCAAGCATCTTAAGTGTAAAAATTCATTAGTTCATTGGTTCTAGTGTTCATTGGGTACAAATACTCGCTTAGAGACTTTTTAAACTAATTTTTTAAAAGCTAGCAGTAAAATTGATTAATGTATGGTTAAAAGATCTCTCATCTTTTAGAACTTTCTATACTCTTTTAGTGTCTCATCACAAACAGCTTGCATAGCTACTTCTGAGACAGCATTTCAAATCTATTTTTTAAATATTGACAACAAGAAGCAGAGAAGTTTGATGGTCTCAAGTATAAATAAAACTTTATATTTCATATTATGAGAGTGCTACAGTCATTTCAAAGGGAAAATTGGATACGAATGCAATATTTTCCCAAATCGTCGTGTGTTCAGAATGTCTGGCAGCCTGATGGCATATCAACACTGATGTAAAAATTACCATTTTAATATCATCAATCTAAAGTACTAATCAGAGAAAATGTGACTCTTTAGAAGATAATTCTGGCCCAGCATCCTTGAATCCAGCAAATGTCATTGGGAGAAGAAAGGAGGCAATTTTTCTTTGGAAGCTATGTGAATCAGCATTTTGATACCATCAAATTAAGAAATCTTGTCACATTTCACATGGCCAGATGGCTGCATTGTTAGAAGCTTTGGAAAGAAGGAATTGGGTTTTTTGGGTAAGATAAACCATAAGTATACATTTGGTTATATTCACCATTCAAATGCCTAGATTTTAAAGGCATTTTGACACCCTCTTTTGATTAATATTTTCTAATCAGAGTCTCCATAAAAATGATTTCCGTATTGGATATTAACTGACTTCAAGAGAGATGGGGAAATTCTCAGTGGAGGAAGTTGAAGGTGTCACAGTAATTTGCCCTAAGTGGGTACATAATACACTGACGTTTCTTGCCTCTTGTATTTGACTCTCTCAACAGTCTAAAATGTCCACTAAAGTTAACACACGGAAACATAAAACTGTCCACAATCTGGGCTTGGTGCTGACAATCAAGTTCCTTTCATGTTTTGTTTTGTTTTGTTTTTTAAAAGATACAGTAGTACTGTTTTTGTCTGACTTGGTTTGTAGATGAAGTTACCTCACAGAAGTTAGTATGAATGACAAACCACCTAAAAACTATGTCACTTTGTCCCAGTTTACTAGATTTTGATGTCAGCTGCTTTCTCATAATAGTATTTTACAAAAAAATATTTTATAAGTAACCAACAAAATTTCACAGCAAAAGTTTCATTTTAAAAATCTCACACTGAACTCTGCTTATGAAAAAGGAGTTATAAATAAAAACATAATCGAGATTGCTTGATTAAAATAACCCATAATACCAAACGGAGAAAATATTAGATTATGTAGATATGAAAATCATAAAGTGACACAATTTTCTCAGTGGTATTTATTCTTCCAATGTTTTAATTTAAAACCATAATAAAGACAGAAGAGTAGCACTCAGCACTTGAACAGGAAAGTTAGAGTTCTTGACCACGTGCTTCTGGAGTCCTTGGGAAGCAGGAAGTTGGACTCTTTGCTTCAATCTTCTCCTTGAACTCACCCCACCCCAGCCTTAAACCAGAGCCTAACACCAGCTCCATTGCTCTGAAGGTGCTAACGAACCACAGGGAGATCATTTGTTCAATTTCAACAGTGATATATTTTAACTACAATTATTTCTTTCCATTCAGACTCCCATCACATCTTGTTTTCCCTCATTGGAGTGAACTAGGCATTTGTAGGATCTGGTCTAAGAGAAACTGACTGGGGTTGTGCTTATAGGAAACATATTTGTGGGGTTTGGAGTCACTTTCATGTATTCATAAGTGACTGCTAGCCACCTCTATGCAGGATTGGTTTCCAGGTGTATTCCTATTACAGAGAATGGCAACTAAAGCAGAATTGCCTGTGACACAAAAGCGTCAGGTTGAGCACGTCATATGAGAATGTCCTACATTTCCCAATACCTAATCTATGTAGGGAGTGGAGAGGAAACAAGATATATTTGCCAGGAGCTAGTCTATGTAACATTCTTCCGATCATAGGACACATAGATTTAAATACAAAATTGAGTTATTAATGATACCCAATCAACACAAAAATCTCTCCTGAAAGGAATTTATTTGTTATTGCAGCATTAAAATTTATAAACATCATGCATTTCTTTTCTTTTTTCATGGAATCCCACGATGGAGAATCAATTAAATATTTGTTGATAGAACACAAAAATATAATGATCCTAGTAATAGTAAGTATGCCTGTAAGAACTCACACATGAAAGAAATTATATAGTACCTACCCACTAAATATGACCTTAAGCTTAAAAAATGTACAGTAAATGTCAATAAAATTCTGGTTAGTTGACAAAATTCAATCAACCATATTAAAAGGAGACAGAATGACCTTTCCATTCTCCCTAGAGAAAATGATACTATAAAATTTTTATCATATGAAGAGGTGATCAAAGAATAAACAGTCAAAAATACATGGGGGGAAAATTATGGTGGTATAATTGGGCAATTGACTAGTTAAAATATTACCATTTCAAAAGTTTTCAATACTTGTGGTATTTCAAGCTTTTCAAAACTGAACATTGTAGTCATTTCTTCTTTCTTTGAAAAAAATATTCATTTTTATATCAAATTAAGACTTTATCACTCCTTTTCTTAAAGAAGTTTTCCCCAGATTGTACATACCTCAGGATTTAGTATTACAATGGTACATACTAATCAACCTGGCTCATCCTAACCACCAGGATACAGGGAGACATGCAAGTCACATATAAACAAGAGGTTGATTTCTGTCTGGCTTTGTTTCTATCTTGGCCAAGCTAACAATTGTAAAGAATTTCCATCAGATGCAAGCCAAATTTCATATTCTAACCAAGAATGAAGAAAATTATTATTGTAGATGCCTCTGCTTGGTCTCTGGTCTCTGTTTTCCCCTCTCCCACTGAGATATGGAATAAGAAGAGCTTTTTGATACCCAAGGGCAAGGTAACGGGCCTGTCCTTAAGATGAATGGAAAATTGTCTAAATAATTCAATAACTGCAGTCTTTTGATGCAACTTGATGAAAGTCCTTGAGTATTAATGGATATTGAACTAGCTTTCCAAAGGCAAAATTGCAATTATTGTATGAATATTTTCAAACTGCTCTCGATCATAAACTGCTTCTAACCTCCATCTACTACTTGTGCTTCTACCAGTGCTGTCCCAAAAGGTACTTATGCTCAATGCCTCCCCAACATCCCAGAGGAAAGGAACCTGGAAGGGGAGTGTAGGCAGCATTCCCGGCCCTTCTCTCTCCCTAACACCCATCAAGTGATCACAACAGGCAGGCACTGTCTAGAAAGTCACTGTAGGATCTGTGAGCCTGTGACATTTGACAAAGTCCCTGTTATTTGGGAATAAAGCAGTAATGGTCTTCATACTCCAGCAATATGTAAACTGTGAGAGTTTTTAAAGGCTTCCTCAAAAGCTTCCAATCATTTTGTTTGTTTGCTTTCTTTTGTCTTTTTATTTCAACTAGAAAAGGGATGGGCTCTGTCTGAGAAGCCATAATCCTAGACAACTAATTGAAATCAGAACATCCCATTATCTGCAGGTATCTAATAAGTCCAAACATCTAATTAAATTTCCTGATAATTCATATCTTCTGTTTCATACGATCAAAGCAACTACGCAAGACTAAAAACTTTCAGGTGATTTTAGCAAGATAAAAAATTTCATTCACATTATCTCACCCAACATGATTCTTCCAAGATCTTGTTTCCAACACTTCTTTTCTCCAGGCCTGGACCATAATCAGACTCTTCCTCCTTGTTTTTTGACCACATGTTGCATTTTCTCCCCTCGATGTATTACTGCTGCTTTCCAACCTCCTCCCTCTTTTCCTACGAAACACAGTCTTAAAAAAAAATAACAATTCTGTCACCTCCCTGAAACATTCCTTAAGCTTTTTCTCTCCAGCCCCATCAGAACTCTCATAGTTATTTTCTATGTGATGCACCTGGGATTTAAATCATAACAATGAATATATTGTTGTTCGAAACTATTTAATATTGTACCTATTGTTTTTCAACTCATTCAAACCATCATCTAAGATGACCAATGAAGAAACAATCTGTACAAGATTTTTAAAGTTACGTTGCACTATATACACAGAGGCAAAGGAAAATCCACTTATTGCACACTATATTAAAAGAAGGCCTGAAGTAAGAAGAGCAAGATGGACAGAAGTGCTTGTTGTAATTGTAAACAGGAGCTTAGAGCATTCTGTTTTCTTCTAAAAGGATCGACAGAGTTTTCATTTAATTGACTCCTTGCTCCTCTCTTTCCCAGGTGTGCTTTGTGAACCTGGATGTGAACAAGGATCCGTGTAGCACAGAGCACCTGCAACAGGTAAAAGTGGGACTCGAGCTTCCAGGAGCTCATGACAAGGGTTCATCTACAAAGGATGCTCATTTTATAAGGGGCTCTTCCATAGGTGGCTTCATCACACCCATTTCCCTGACTTTCCCTTGCTACTTTCCCACGCAGTTTGCCCTTCTTACATTTATTAAACTTGCTTTTCCATACAGGCAGTATGGTTCCATCAGGCACTTCCTCTTACTCACTAGCTCTTTCTGTAGCTACTCTCTTCTCTCCTCACTCTTAAACACCCACTCTGATGTAACTTTTCCAAAGGGTTTATAAAACCTAATTTCTGCCAGCCAGCATGTCTCTCTGCCTCAGGTTTGCTCCTTCTTATTGCTTTCATGAAACTTTACCTCTAACCTTGCCTTTCTTGTCTTGGACTCATCTGGGGCTTCAACTTATTTTGTAACCATGCAAGAACTCATTGGCCCAAGGTCATCTCAGATTGTGAGCAAGCTGATGTAAATCCCTGGCAAGATGTAAGCACGTGAATGTCCAGTTAGTTCTTTGGAAACAGAGCCTGCCGTGCAAGGGGAAGAATTAATTCCATACCCAAAGCTAATCAGATTTGACCTCACCACTTGGTGTAATACTGTTCAATGTATAACAGAATCCCATTTACAACTTGATTATCATGGAACAATAGAGCAATTGTACAGTAACTCAGGACCCAGTTATTCTGCCATCAGTGGTTGCAATTATTCAATTTATTCCTATACTTCTTCTTAGCTTCTGAAAGAATCCATTTGCTTACACAGATTATCCATTAGAAATGTTCACCAAGCTCCGAATACCATCATCTGTGTAGAGCTGCAAAGATTTAAAAAAATAAGTTGCACATACTATTTTATTGGATGGAATTCTTGCTCAGAGTCCTTCAAAGAGACAACAGGGAGGATGAAAGCAGGTTGGCCTCATAAGAACTCCATGTTTGACGAATTTATGTGAGTTGCTTGAGACAACCTCTTGGTACAGCTTACAGGAGACACACTGGCACTGATCTGTGCAAGTCACTAATCTTTGGACCTTAGGCTCTCGGGTACAAAATAAAAGTAATAATAGTTCATTATCCAAATAGGGCTGTTGTGAAGATTAAATGCAGTAAGATGTAGCATATATACAGTCTTTAGCATACTGCTGAGCACATAGTCAAAATAAAACCAAAGTTAGTCATTTATTATTATTGTTGTTGTTGTTGACTATTAGAATAGAAGATTATCAGGAAACGGTTCTCCAAATCCAAGTCTTAAAGGAAAAATATTTCCAAAATACTGTTTTTATCTATGATATGACAGTAATTGTTAAATGTTCACTTTGGAAAATCTAGAACTAAAGAGTTTTTAAAAATTAAATTTTCTATTCCAATCTTAACTCTTATGCTTTAATTTATACAACTTTTTCCAGTAACAGCCTTAGTAGATTAAGTAATCTGTAGAATGAGTAAATCACCTTTGCATATGAAATAGCGTGGGATCGTATTTTAGAAGTGAAAAGAAATCATCTAAGCTAATGATGATTCTTGCTCTACAGAAACTGGTCAATGTTTCACCAGATCTTCCAAAACTTATCAGCTCTATGAGTGTCCAACAGCCAAAAGAAAATGAAATTGTCCTCCTAAGTGGCTTAGCATCTGGAAATCTCCAGGCAGATTTTCAAGTCTCACAGGTAAGAAACTTAAGTTCTCAGTCATTCACTTAAGGATAAGTTATCAATAGGCAGTTTAGTATAGATTGATATGAACCCAAAACAGACACTACACAAAAGCGCCTACAACGTAATAATCAATGATGCCTTTGTATTTGATAATACTTTTCATTTGTATTTCTCCCAAATATTGCTGCTATGAGTTTGATAGAGCTTCACTTGTATCAATTCCAAATTTCTATTATCTTCACAAGTTCATGGTGATATATTGCACTTGAGCTAGAGCAGACATACCCATATTAGTTATTTAGCTTAGTTTTCTACAAATCTAGTAAGTAAAACTAAATTGTCTTCTCTTTAAAGAATAGCACCAAAATTTCAATTCACACTGTCAGAATCCTATTGCATCATCTTTCTAAGCATAATTTACTCCTTAGGAAATGCCAATCTAGCAAAGCTAATAATAAAGAACAGCTGCCCAACAATGGAAAAGGAATTTCCTGGGCCCAAAGAATGAAATTCTAAGAAATAAAAGAATGCTATTCAAAAGGAAGGAACAAAAGTATTACGATTATCATTCAGTATGTTAACATTGATATTATATAAACACATCACTTCACTTGAGGAAATGTAGGAAAAGCTATTCGATTGATCTTCAAAGAAAATATGCATAACACAGCCCATTATAATTTTCTAATGAAAACATGAGTCTAATAGTAATTTTCTTTATAAGGAGTCTAGGTTTCTAAAAAATAAAAAAACGTTTTAAGTCCCCTCTACTTTAGGCAAAACCATAATGCTCAGAAATAATATTCAAACCTGAATTTTCTTTCCTATTGTGTCCTACTAATGAGCCCCTACCCCACCAGATAAAAGGTTTTTGCTTCCTCTATGGTGGAGCTCATCAATATAACATGAAATTTCAAGTAGGACTGCTAATTAGAAGATTAAACCTCTTGGAAGCCAGAACTTTTGCCCTTTTCATATTAAATCAAGGCAGAGAACAAGGAATATTCCCCTCCCCTTGGCCTGACCATATATCTGCACGCTGGTGTAGTAGTTTTCATAATAAAAAGAACTCTATAGCTTACAACAACCTCGATCTCGCTAGCCAGAAAAGCAACATAAATGAATAGACATCATTTTGGATTTGAATTCAAAGAATGCGGATCTTTCTGGGCCCATTCGAAACATCACAATATTATCAATTTCTATTTTGCAGGATTAACTAGTGGAAAGAAATGAATAGGTGAAAAGTACATTGTTTAAAATAAATGTTAGTTTTTGTTAAAAAAGAAAAATAAAATTTTAAGCATCCCAGCCTAGTACAAAAACTACAATTGAAACTATGTTTCTTCTTCAAAAATACTGTTTTGAAAAAAATGCTTTATCTCCAAGTTTTAAGTTTTATAGTAATGATTTGTATAAACATTGTGATAAACCAATTAACTTATGAGAAGGCTTTATCACTAGATAATCATATATCTCTGATTTTGCAGCTACTGACAAGACTGTGTACTATAAATTTAACATGAATTCCATGTAATTTTTGGTTTGTCACCAAATTATACATTACAATATAAAACATAGCATAGAATGAAGACTTTATTCCTATTTTCTTTATGATATCCATACACTTTTTACTAAAGTGCCTCTGCTTTATACAATAGAAGTCTACTAGCTTTTACCAAGTGCAAGTATTACTTGAAAATTCAATTTCCTTCTGATTTTCCTATGAAAATTGATACTGACATCAATTGGACCTGACTTTGAGTTGAACTTCCTAGACATGGATTAACCCCAGTTAGGATTCTTAATTAAACATGGCAGAAAATTGGCTTAAACAAAAAGAGAATGTATTGCTTCCTATAAACAAATGAAGTGGGACGATCAGACACAGGAATTTGACCAACGTCATAAGGACACGGATTTTTCTCTTTTCTGCTTTCTCTTTATTTGTCCCATTATAAACAAGCCCTTGCCACAAGGAGCCCCTTCTCTATGGCTCCCAGCCAAAGTCTCACTGAGTCTCATTGACGGTCACGTGTCATCTGCCCATTTCAAAACTGATCACTATGGTTTGAGGAATCCATTGTTTGAAGTGGCCAGCCCTGAGTCACCAGTGCAGTTGGAGATAAAGGAACTCCAGCTGAATTACTTGGAAATAGTACCCCACAGGATGTGAGAACCAGAAGGACAAATGATGCTGGGTCACAAAAGCAACAGAGATGTTCCTTGAGATTAGGACAGCCAAACTGCCAAGAGCTCATTAAAACCATCCATTCGGAGATGTGTTCAAAGCCAGGCACCACGGCACAGGTATAGGCCTCTGGTCCCAGCTACTCAGCAGACTGAGGATCATGTGACCCTGAAAGTTCAAGACAACAGGGTGAGACCCATCTCAAAGCAAACAAACAAATCATTCATAATGTTGCATAGCTTCTCAATCTATGCTGTATCATGTACTGTCTACGAGCTACATCACTCTGAAACATTTCAAGCTTTTTACTGTAAGGCTCTCCATCCCTTGCTGTGTAACACTTCACCTTTCTGCAATCCCCGACAGCTGCTAAATCATTTTGTAGGTATTGCAATCCATAAGTTTGAATAGATAAGCAGTGTAGGGGAAGCACTTCAATGCCGAACCCTGTCTTAGCAAGTGCTATAACTATAGCAAGTGCTTACTTATTTAAGGATATTCTCAGTTTGACTGCTTTATCCCATGGAAGTTGGTGGCATATTTATTCATAAGTGAGGACAGAAAGATTGGAAGAGGCAACTTGAGCGGGGAAAGTCTGGAAAGTCTGAATCAGTCATTCTAAGGGAATAACCACCAATCCCATGGAGAAAGGGAAAAAACAAGCAATTTTACACCTTTGATCCAGGAAATTATAATATTAAAGGAGGTTTTTAGTGACCAAGTGAATTTTTAGAAGGTCAGATAACATGTCACTTCATTTCTCTTAATTTTCATTTCATATTTTATAAAGTGGAGATTTTAAAAAGAATTCTTGGAAGCTAATATTAAAAATTTAATAAAATATTATGAAAGCAACTTGGTAAGTACAAAGGACTATTCAAAATTCTTTTTGTATTCAAAAAAAGTAAAGAAAGATGAAGTAGAAAGAAAACATTAACAAAACTGAAATGAGGTGCCAGGGTGGAGTATTAGAAACACCAAGAGTGCCATCCAGGTACCAACTGGCTAGCTTTGTTTGGGCAAAATAAGTGCAACAATGTTGCAAGAATAGTGTAGATAATTTACCTTTTCTGCTTCTTGAGAAGTTTTTTTTTTCCTTGTCAAAAGTTTTCTCTTTGTTTATTCACATCTTTGTCTTTCCAGCTTAGCAAATCACTCCCTTGCTTTCTTTATATATTGTTATACTTATATAATTAAATAATACAATTAGTAAAATGTTAAAAAAAATGCACAACATCTCTCAATCACTCTTATATTCACTTAACAAATATTTACATACGTACAAAGTGTTACACACTTGGCTAGGTGTAATGAATACAGTGGCAAACAAGCCCAATATTTTGCTTTCTCGGGGCTAATTTACAGTTGAGTATTCTCTTGGACTTTATTTCCTATGGTATGTAAATATGTTTACAACTGTCTACATACATGTCTGAAAAGACCAGCGTGCTACACATGAGAGTTGCCATAGTAATATGACAGCTAATGGTTAAATGAAATACTAAGTAGAAAATACAAGTAAAATCAGGGGTTTTTCCCTACAAAAGCAAATTTTTCTAAGCATATTCTCTACAACAGTAAGATCCGCTCCTGTGATTGTCTTTGGAAATGAAGGCATGCATGAACACGCATGAACATGCATGAATTTGTAGAGGCCCAGGTATGGCCCTGAATCCTTGTCAAAGTGCACGGGGCTTTCTTAGACACTGGATCTTTACTGTCTGGACCAGTACACTACAGAAAACACTGGAATTAGAGTCCAAAATACCTGCACTACAATGCTGGCCCTTCTACTCTATGCTTGTATAACCTTGAAAAGACTGGTTAGCCTTTCTGTGCCTCTGTTCTCTCCCTGTAAAAGAGCAACATCGCCATCAACCTTACAAAAGTAATGTTCAGGGCCAGGGATTTAGATCAGTGGTTCCGCCGCATGCCTCACAAGTGCAAGGTCTTGAGTTTGATCCCCGGTACCAAAAAAAAAAAAGTAATGTTCACCTTGAAGGTAAGAAGTTATACTGAACACCCAGGAAACTATCATCCCAATCATACTTGTCTGAGAGGCTATATTGTTTGACCTTTATTTAGCTAAGACTCCTGGGATATCTATTTACATCCAAAAAGGTGGTTTTGTTGTGTTTTTGTTTTTGTTTTTGCAGTACTGGGGGTTAAACATGGGGCCTTTGCATTGAGCTTGGGCTTTTTAATTTTTTTTTTAATCTTGAGATGACAGGGTCTCGCCAAGTTGCTAAATTACCCAAACTGGGCTCAGACTCATGAGCCGGAGTTCTAGGATTACAGACATGAGCAAGGCAGACAAAGGTATTGGTCTGAAAAACTAGAAATCAATGTGGGGTGGAACCGAGAAGCCTGAACATTTCCCTCAGGAGCTAAGCACAGGGTTCGCCTGGCTCTAGGCCCTGACCTGTCTTTTTTAGAACATTTGATTTGGAGAATTTATAGCCCTGCATTGTTTGTCTAGCTATTTTAGATATAAATGCTTTGAAAGCTTTTCTTTCAGTTTTTCAACTCAGAAAGGTCTTTTTCTAGAACCCCAGCCCATCTCCAAAAAGTAACTGTCAGGAAGCTAATGCAGCCTGTCTTCCAGGATCTGCAGAAGAGTAGATACCTCAGTTCTGTAGGCACTTTACTCCAAGTTGCAAAAGTAATGCTTGTCCTGAAGATGCAAGAAAGTTTACTATTCTTTTGGGTAAAGTGAACTAGCAGAGAGGGCCTAAGATCTCCCTCTAACTCTAGCTCTTAATAAGCTTATTGCCTTCTGCTTCGGGGGAATTATGGTCTGATTTCTGGCTTTTCTTCCCTGCTTCAGTCCCCTGAATAAAATGTCTTTGCCTGTTGAACTTTGCAATTTAATTTTTGCTTTGACCAGGGAAAAACAAAATACGTGATACAGCTCGTCTATTTTCTTCCAAATCAAACTTTCTCCTGGAGACCCTGGGTTCCCAAATGCCACTTGAATGTTTTTCAAGCAGTTCATCAACATAAGCCCAGAGATATTTCAAATATTTTTAAGATTCCCCACTTCTTTTAACAGGAGATATTGATGGAAAGAGAAAGACCAGAAGCAATAGTCTTTTTATTTTCTGTTTTGAACAGTATCTTCTTTCCTCTCTGCTTTTAGTGCCCTTGGCTACCAGATATCTGCTTGGTCCAATGCGCAAGAGGGAACAGACCGAACAGTACCAACTGCATCATCTTTGAAATCAATAAATTCTTGATTGGTCTGGAATTGGTGCAAGAGCGGCAGCTCCACCAGGAAACAAACATCTTGAAACTGGAGGATGACACAAACTGCTCCTGGTCCTCAATCGAGGAAGACTTCCTCACTGCCTCTGAGCACCTGGAGGAAAGCGAGGTGGAAGAATACAGGAAGGGTGAGAATGTTCCAATAAAAACAAATGTGCATCCCGAAATTAGTGACCATGTAAAAATACCTTGGCAAGTTTCAGGTTATGTCAATATGGCTGACACACTGCGGTATTCACTCACTGATTTGGAAGGAAGGGAGGGAGGGAGGGAACCCAGAAGATGGGGAAGGGATAGAGACACATTCCAAAAGATGCCTTAGGGATGCTGAAAGAAACCTGTGTGTTTTAAAGGGAAATTTTCCTTCCTACCTTAAGATAGACGCTGTCACTGGGAGGAAAATTGGCTTCCCTAAGATTTCCATAAAAACCATATACTGGTTGGAGCCAAATTGGACAGGCCTAGATTTGAATCCTAGAAGGGTCATTTTGAGGCTGTGAGACAGAAGGCCATCTTTCTAACCTTTCTGAGGTCTGCTGTTTCCTTATCTGTAATTTCAGAGTACAGTAATGCCTGTAGCTAATAACTGTTGTGAAAGTTGAAGGCATTAACCAGGAAAGGGCTGGACACTTATTCAGTTCTTTCTCCTCACTCATTAATGGTGCTCAAGAAATGAGTTTCTCTTCCCAACTCTTATCCACAGAGAAAAGAAGATCCCAGATAGTGTTTTTTCCTAAGGCAAGTCCTATGCAAACTTCAGAGCAAATTTGTGCGATAAAGCCCACTTTTGAAATTCTAAACATTCTTTCTTCTCCTCTGGGCTCTCCCAGAAATTGTAAGATGTAGTTGTTTGTGCTGCTTTCCCCAGAAGAATGGTGATTAGGTTTCAGCTCCTAAATACCTTCTACTCTAGCATTTGCACTTATATCCCACAATGAAAGCTCTTTTGTCATGGGATAGTCAGGGACAGTCCATAACGGAATTGAAAGATCTTTTCCAAACTCACTTTTCAAGAAACATATTCAACACTGTATTTGAAGACAGAGAGATGGCTGGTGCTTTAAGGTGATTTTAGAAAGTAATTATTATTTTAGACCCATGACAACCTGCTATCCAAAAAATAATAGTAGATCTCATTTTCTCTTCACCAGGTTATGAAAATATAAATGTGTCAGCCAAAGTTTTTGAAAGTAAAAAGCCAAAGGAAACCACTCAAGAGGAATGGGATGACAAGAAAGAAAAGTTTCTTTATGTTTTGGAAAACAAATATGTCAGCAAATATCATACACCATTGATTAAAACAGAAGGATCTCTGGAAAACACAGTCTCAGAAGGTCCATATCCGTCACTCAGCCCCTTACAGAGGGATGGTGAAGCTGTGGGAAATGAGCAACCAGCCACAAATTATTATTCAGAAAATTTTAAAGATCAAGTAGAAAAGTCTCAAGCAATGTACATTCCAAGTGATGCACATTTCTCTACAATGGCAAAGAAAGACATACCTTTGGCATGTGGCATTGTCACTGAGCAAGGCAGCAGCCTAGACCCAGGAGACTACGAAGACTCAAGAAATTCTCTTCCTCCTATCCAAGATGGAGAAGCTACAACTGGAGAGTATGCTACAAATTTAGCAGAATCTGTGCTACAAGATGCATTTATCAGATTGTCTCAGTCTCCGCCTACACTACCCCAGGAATCTGCAGTCAGTGCTCCTCTAGGAAGTGCTCCGCTTCCCACTGGCTGTCCCACAAAGGATATAGTGGCCGCCAGGTCATGGAATGAGCTCCCCAAAATCGTCATTGTGCAGAGTCCAGATGGCAGCGATGCTGCCCCTGCCCCTGGCATCTCCTCCTGGCCTGGCACCGATGTTTCTGTTGATACCTCAAGTGTTCTCTCTGGAGAGAACCCCAGAAGACACCCTCAGAGTGCTCTAGAAGTAGCATTAGCTTGCGCAGCCACTGTGATTGGAACAATTTCCAGTCCACAGGCCACAGAAAGACTCACAATGGAGCAGGAATCCTTGGTGTCAAACTGTACACTGGAAGGCAGTGGAGAGCTGCAAACTCAAGCATCCATAGGACTCAAAGACCCTTCCATTAGTGACTACTCCTTTCCATCTGCTTTGTGTGGGATGACTCAGGTGGCAAGTGCGGTTGCTGTCTGTGGCCTAGGTGAAAGAGAAGAGGTGTCATGCCCAGTGGCCCCAAGCAGTGTCTTGCCTGCAGCTGAGGCATCTGAAGCCACCTCTCCACTTTGTAGTTTAGTGACAGAGAAGGGGACGGTTCTGGACAAGGAAGCCATTGCAGAAGCTTTGCTCACAGAGGTGGGTCTGGTTTTAACCAGGCCTGGGTCCTACAGCAGCATTGGAGACCTCATGGAGTCCGTGAACAGGAGACTCATCGAAACTGCTTCAAAGCCTCAGACCTTGTGCTCAGAAAACATCCTCAGAAATGACCTGGCACAGACCCTGTCCAATGTTATCCTGAAGCATTCCATTGACGAAGTTCACCAGAAAAATAAAAAAGTCCACCCCAATGATGGCAGACCTGCATTTGACTATCTAGACACCCTAATGGAAAGCACAAACCAATTGCTCCACCATGTGATATGCTTCACATTCAAGAAGATGAGCCACATTGTAAGGCTTGGTGAATGTCCTACTGTCCTTTCAAAGGAAACTATCAGATGGATAGAGACAGAACCCCTAGGCTGCCAGCCACTGGATCAGGCTGCTGGTCAAGCATGGACAAAAGCCACAGAACACTCCAGTGGCCATCCACCTAACAGTCCATACGGCCTTGCCGTTGGTGATCTTATGGACGACATACATCCAAAGCAAGAGAAGAGCGAAGCAAGGCCAGGCCTCTTCAAGAGCCCCACGCTGCCATCTGAATTGTCATGTGGTCACCAAGTGCTGGATTCTTCTACTGCTAAAACATCCCCTAAGGAAATACAACCGAAAGAAGTGGTGGGAAAGGATACAAAGAGCCCTCAGCAGACACCCAGTCACAAGCAGAAGGAACCTAGAGCCTCTTCGGGAGCAGAAAGGGCACCGGCAGTGGGAAGGTGCAGAAGCAGCTCGCAGGGTGCTGAGGACAGTATTGATCCCCACACCCGGAAGTGCAGCTGTGCCACGTCTCTGAACGACGACGACGTTCGAGCTAATCTGTCCTTGTTAGCAGATGACCTGGTGCTTCCTGCTCAACCCATACTAGAAGCAAAGCACACAGACATTTACATCATTGCAGACTTCGCGGAAGAACTAGCAGAGACAGTCATCTCCATGGCAACTGAAATTGCAGCTATCTGCCTTGACAACTCCAGTGGAAAACAACCCTGGTTTTGTGCATGGAAAAGAGGGAATGAGTTCCTGGTAACACCAAACGTATCCTGCCAATCTTTGAAGAGAAGGAAGGAAAGCCAGAGCAGTGGCAGCACCGTGAGGAAGCACAAACCTCCTCGGCTCAGTGAGATCAAGAGGAAAACGGATGAGCATCCTGAACTCAAAGAGAAGCTCATGAACAGGGTTGTGGACGAATCTATGAACCTTGAAGACGTCCCTGATTCTGTCAGTATTTTTGCAAATGAAGTGGCAGCCAAGATCATGAACCTTACGGAGTTCTCCATGGCGGATGGGGTGTGGCAAGCCCAGAGCTACTCCCGAAATCGCTTACTGAGCGGCGACAGGGGGAACCGGCTGAAGGCCTCCAGCTGCGAAAGCATCCCGGAGGAGGACTCTGAGGCCAGGGCCTATGTGAACAGCCTGGGTTTAATGAGCACCTTAAGCCAGCCAGTCAGCCGAGCCAGCTCTGTCTCCAAACAGTCAAGCTGTGAGAGTATCACCGATGAGTTCTCCAGGTTCATGGTGAACCAGATGGAAAATGAAGGGAGAGGATTTGAGTTACTGCTGGATTACTATGCTGGCAAGAACGCCAGCAGCATTCTGGACTCAGCAATGCAACAGGCCTGCCAGAAAAGTGACCACCTCAGAGTGAAGCCAAGCTGCCCCTCTAAGCAATCCAGCACCGAGAGCATAACTGAGGAGTTCTACAGGTACATGCTGAGGGACATTGAAAGAGAAAGCAGAGACAGCCCCTCCTCCAGACGAAGCAGCCAGGAGTGGAGCACTGGCTTGCTGTCTCCTTCTCTCCGATCCCCACTGTGTCACAGGCAGTCATCCATGCCAGATAGCAGATCCCCTTGCACCAGGCTGACAGTGAATGCACCAGTCAAGGCCAACTCCTTAGACGGTTTTGCCCAAAACTGCTCGCAACATTTCCTAAGCGTGCAGCCAGTCAGTAGCGCTTCCTCATCTGGTCTCTGCAAATCTGACTCATGCTTGTATCAAAGAGGTGGGACCGACCAGATCACAAACATGTTAATTCATGAATCGTGGGCAAGCTCCATTGAGGCCCTCATGCGAAAGAACAAAATTATCGTGGATGACGTGGACACAGTTGATGCCAGCCCTGTTTCTGGCAGCTTGACCTTGCAAAGGGAAAAGTGTGCAAACAGATTAGCTGCAAGCAGAGTGCACAGTGGGCCAACCCTGCTTCTTCAGGAGTCTGTTGATTACCCGAGGAAGGACTCTGTTACCAAGAGCAAACATCCCCCGGTGTCATCTCCAAGGGAAACTGCTCCTCTTATAAACGGAGATGATTTACCTTCTCAAAAGGAAGCTTCCTCGTGCCATGACGCTGGTCCACTCAGCCACACCAGGTGGTCCCTCTGCTCTAGGGATGTGCCATTGATTCAGATTGAAACAGACCAGAGAGAAGAGTGTGCTGGAGACCCTGAACCCTTGCTTTTCAAAAGTGGCTCCTTACCAGAGTCAGGAGACCTTTTGAATGAAGAAAGAGTCCCGGATGTGGCCAGAAGTGAAGACACAGCCGTGATTGTGTGCCAAAACCATAGGTGAGTTAATCGTCTTTGACTAGATGGGCCACATGCCACTGCAGTTAGTATTTTAATTAGGGTTTACTCTTCCTGTTAGCCATATAGGGACTTTATTGATGCAAGGACTTATAAAAATTAAATTCCTGAAACAATAAATGACCTCCCTTTGTTAATACACACTTGTAATAGAAGGTTGGGAGTAATTGGGATGTTTTTATAATTTCCAAAACAAATTGAACTCATTTATGTACCAGAGGAAATGGGTATTATCCTCCTAATTAAAACTATAATCCTGTGGTATGCTGGCTTTCAAAATTTATTCATTGTGATTTTCAGGGGAAAAAAATAAGCAATGCCACTTATTCATTTGAAAACAATTCAATTTAAATACACTTTAGTATTAGAATTTGAGATTAAAGTTTTTATTTTTCTAGGTCTTTTTTCAAGATTTTTCTTTCTTGCTTTATTCTAAGGATCTCTGTGACTACACCGTGTCTTACAAGGTATTGGTTCTTTCAATGCATGGTATAATTGTAGCATTGTCATTTGGATAGTTCTTTTCCATAAGAATATAATAGAGATGGGCCGGGGATTAGGCTCAGTGGTTCCACCACCTGACTCGCAAGTGCAAGGTCCCGAGTTCAATCCCCGGTACCAAAAAAAGAAAAAGAATATAATAGAGCTGACAATGCATTTTGAATTTGAGTCAAGGCAATTATTTATTTCAGGCTGCTTAAAGAAATGCCAATTCCACCTTATACCTTCTGCAGAAAAGTCATGAGACCACTGTACCACCTTTATTTTTAGTCTATAATTAAGCAAAACAAAAAATTAAGTACTGGCTTTAGAAACATAAAGCTGGAGAAATAGCCTGTATAATCTTTTCAAAGACATATGCCTATTTTTTATTATTTGCAAAGGGCCTATGATTTTTTAAATGTTTAGCTACAATAAATAAATTGAACATAGCTATCAACAAAATTCGGCAGTTCTCTAGAGTCCTAGATACAGCTCTACCTCCACCAGGGAATTATAAGGAATTAATGCAATTTCAGCCATTGATGCTTTTCATTAGAAGGCATCATTGCAGGGTGTGTTTGGTGCATAGTTCAGTTGGACTTGAGTACTTCCTGCCAGCCACTTAGGGCTGAGAAGGAGATCCCAGAGGAATACAGGAGAGAAAGCATGAAAACATGAGAGCATAAAGGCAGAGGAACAAAAAGCTAAACTAAATGAATTAGAACAAGTTGAGCATGAAGACGAGTTTTACATATCAGTAATCCTCCAGCTGTAGACACTATTCACCAAAGACTCTGATCCAGGGAATATGGAGAATTGCTATTTTTAAAAAAAATTGATCAAAGAGCTAAAGAAGCAAAGCAGTCAATAAAAATTCTTTAGAATTATCTTAACTTCAAATATAAAAAGCAGGAAATACTGGTCGTAGATTGGAAACATAGATTCCAAGAGTCTGCTTAAACAAAAAGATCATAACCTAGCTGAGATTCCTAGTCAGAGAAGGTCATCGAGTTAGTAGCATTCATGAAGCTAGCAGGTTAACAAGATTCACAGTTGCAAACTTAAATAAAATAATCACTATCACTGAAGTTGTATAAAACACCTCATACAACTTTGAATTAAATTTCACTGATATTCCCCTTACCATAGGTACAACCTGGGAAAGTTATAAAAATTTTTGAAATCTGTGTGAATAAAGCTTTCAACTGACTTAGGTTTGTACTAATATAATGAACCAAGCACACAATCTTTTAAAACATCATGTGGGTTTCTGACTTAAGTTTTCCATGAATGAAACAAAAGGAAGATCTGGATCTACTTGCAAAACACAGGGAATAATTATTTAATGTATTTTTCTTTGTGTAGGATATAAAGAATTGCTACAGAACATGAACTCACTGTGAACCTTAAATTCTATCACTCAGAGACACCTCCCTGATCTCTCCTTACATAGTTTTCTCACCTGTACGTGAGAACAATAGTAATGATAATATCATAAGAGAATTATTACGGTTTACAAAAAAGAAAAGTACACAAAGCCCTCGACTCAATGACTTGCCTACTGGTAACATTCAATAAATGTTTACGCTTATCATTACTGCTGGGGAAAAGATATATAGTGACCTTTATTCCAGGAGAAATTTTTCCCAAGAAAAAACTGTCATGAACAATGTGAGACTTAAAACAAGAGAATTCCTAGATTTTCCAAAGGGAAAAGTAATTATAATTAAACCACGTTTTCTAAACTCTGAGTTGTTATCATGGGATTCAATTTGTCACAACAGCTAAATACAAAACTAAATTCCCTTTGAAGGAACTCTACTCACTCACACACAACCACAAGGCAGATGACATAGGTATTTTTAATGTTTTTGGAAGTGAGGATTTGTCATGTCCCAAAGATATTTTTAGGCTACTCACTGAGGGACATTTCCATATTTCTTTAAAATTTCATTAAGATTCAACATACTGAAATAAAAATCATTTTCTTACTTTTTTATGTGATAGAAGAATGACAGCTTTAGAAGTCATTCCCAAGTAGAAATACCTGTTGTCCATCTTCTCACTTTTCAAGATACTGGAGTTAACCCTCGATTTCAGAAAGATCGAATAATTTGGGGTAGCCCTGTTATTGATTTCGGAGAAAATGGCATTTCATTGCTTCATACCAATGTGGCTCTATCTGTTTTGAGGAGGGGAGCTCTCTTGTTTTGTTTTGTTTTGTTTGCTTTTGTTTCATTTTGTGATGCTAAGAATGGAGCCCAGGGCCTCATGAATGCTAGGCATGCACTGCAGCACTGAGCTGCACCCTGATGCATTCTCAGGACAATCCCTTTCTTTGAGATTTCTGAAGGCCAATTATTTTTTTTTATAAGTTGAGCCTACCACGTATAAACAAGAAAGTGAGAATCCTGAGCATTCACACATAATCTGATGTTTTAGAAACATGCTTTCTGATGTATATCCATTTATATTTGATAAGAATTATTCATGCATAAAGTAGTTGATCACCCAGTCTGTGACACTCACTGTGCTTGGAGCTGAAAGATGCCAAAGAAAGTTCTCCCATGATGCTTACATACTAGTAGGAGATACAGACAATAGGATTGGATAAACTCCGGAAAATGATGATAAAGTATGATGGAAAACTTAAATAGTAATGTCATAGGGAATAACTAGTGAAGGAAGTAGCTACTGAGATAAGATGTTAGCATTTAAATGAGACGTAAATGAAAGAAGGAGCCACCCATTGAGAAGACTGAAGTGAAATTCTTACATTTCAGACATTACAGTGTCATAATCTGAAAAATTCTCCCACCATCAATCACCTAGAAATCTTGGGTTAAATCTAATAAACAACACCCTTTTAAATGGAACTGAGCTTAGCAGTAATAATTACAGTAGTGAAAGGCTCAAATTATGAAGAGTCTGAAAACAACTGTAATAAAGCTGACTCTACAACTGCCCTTGAGATGTTTACAGTTCTCTTTTTATCTCCTAAAATCCTGTAGAAATGAGGACATGATGCTGTGGGCTTATGAATACTTAAGGGTTGGACCAGAGACCAGTCTCCAGATCTAGAAGCGCAATATCCATCTATGAACTAAGGAAAAATTTCACCAATCAGAAAAAGGAGCTGAAAGAATATGTATGTCCCAGGGTTAGGACTCTTGATGCAATGAAAATAATTCCCATAAGAATTTACGGGTACAAGTTGCCTTAATACATTTTGGGAGTTCTAATTTGCACTATCTGTATGGTCAAAAAACCCCACACTAGTAAGTTATTTTAAAGGAGTTTCAGTTTAACAGTCCTGTAACGGCTTGACACAGGCAAACACAAATCTCTGCCAGTTAAACCCAAGTCTTACAGGATTCCAAAGCCCTAATAAGTGTGAGCTAAGGACCTCAAACTGCAAGTATCAAAGTATTACATAGAATCAAGGTATTACAAGCAAAATTCAACACACACATTAGGGTTAACCCTACCAAGGATCTGAGATGTTAGAATTATTAGATACTGAGTATGATGTGTAAATATTCGGAAAATTATACAAAGCAGGAGGTAGGAGCAAAGCACAATCAAAACAGGATGAAGCAGATGTAAAATCAAATACCACAAAAGATGAAAAGTATAATAATTGAAAGTAAAACCACTAGGTATATATAATTAAAAGTCACTGAATCGAATGGCATAGCTACTAAGGGGCAATAATAAAAAAATAAACACAAAAGGGACTCCTGTTTCTACCTACAATGGAGTTTCTGAAACTGAATTTTCCCTTTCTCTGTAAGCAAATAGAAAATGGATAGAATGTATGAGACAAATATAGTTTTATATTGTACAGTAAGCAAAACACCAAGAGAAGAGAAACGAACATGGTGAGTCCTACAACTGTCCCAACTTTCTGCCTGGATTCCCTGTTCAGATGAGGAGAAGGGCAGCAAACCTGAGCAAAGCTTAGTGGCCATTCTGAGCCGGAGAATCAGAGATTGGAGGATGCCATGCAGAGAAGGAGAACTCCAGAAACCTGCAGCAGATCCTCTAAACACTGAGCATGCGTGTATCAGTGCACCTCCATGAAACTAGAGAGTAAACACTGTACACTTCCACAAACTCATACAGGAATGGCAATGTTTTGTGCCAATCAGCCAGAGTAGAATCCAGATTAAACACACACAACATTTACTAGAGACACTAAAAAGATCACAACATAGAGTTAAGACTTATACTTGACTCAAAAGAACTTAAGAACAAGCACTGAAAATATCAAGCTGAACTGAAAATAATGCAACCCAAGAAATCCAATAATATTTAAAGAAAACAACAAAATCCAGCAATCAACAACATAAACTTGCAATGTCACATCTAATCAAAACATGTTACACATACAAAACAGAAAATTATCAGTCATACCCAGAAATGCAATCGAGCGAAAGAAATACATCCAGAAATTGTAGAGAAGAATTTTAAGTATATAAAAATATGCCAAAAAATAT